TACCACCAATTTGAGGTACTGCACAGACGCTCAACGTCGCACTGGTGAATCTGTGTTAGCGCAGTGTGATGATAAGTGCTTCACGTAGGCACTCGACCACTTCGACAAATAATCGCAACTGACCTAAACACTAGTACTGCTCACTACACAGTGCGGCTGTCAGATTTCTTGTTTGAGCTTGACAACGTCGCAATTACGATGCTAACAATTTATCGAACAGTAGAATTGAAAAATTCCACAACACATCATTCGATCCGTATCCTTATGCCTGTCCTTGTGAAGCGATCACACGGTGTGTCGAAAGTAGTCTACGTATGTGTAATACGGACTTCACACTGGACCTGTTTTTCCCAATCCTAAAATTTGCAAAAGCATCCACTTTCTGATGGTCTGAAGTTAAATGGCCCTCAAGAACGCTTTAGTCCCTCTGAAGTCTGTTGGAACTGTTCTAATGGCTATTCAAATCTTCAGAATAATACTATACCGGTACCTGATGGCTTACGTCCTAAGCACCACTCAAGCCACGTCCAGCAGATACGGCTTTACAAACCTGCTGTATAATCCTGAAGGCAACATTAACAGGGCTTGGAATATTTCGGGAGGAAATGACTTCACAAAAGACGTGCTTCATGGATAAGAATACGGCTCGATCAACTTGTAGGAAAGGCAACCAGTAAATCTCGTGGCCCACATGACCTTAGGACATGACAACGGAATTGAGCGATCTGTGGCTCTATTCAATGAGCCCAAGGACCCTAAAAGTAAGTTGTTGAGGTCAATACAATGGAAGAATTAACGGCCCTGCTGTACTGTAGAATGTTTGGCAAACACGAAAAGTAGGACAAATCATCAAATTAAAAAAAAACAAAGATTATCCTCAGGTTTTGTGTTTCGTTCTGACGTGCCAAAATCGCCAGAAATCATCAGATTCGTGTTTCGTGCTGATGGTTTTGAGCTCTATTTGCTGATTGTGTGTACTGTACTGGTCAATTACTAATGGACTCCGTTTGAGAAAATAGTAATCGCAAGGTGTGCATGTGCCTTGCTTGAATTTGCCAAATGCGAACACTCCAACGCCCATGCGTCCTATCCATGTTTAAGCGAGACGTCAAGGTTGGCTAGACCACATTCGACAACCTCCAACCCGGCCGGCCGCATTATGGTGTTTTGGGTGACGCTATTGAACGTTTTCACGGGTGTCGCCGATATTCTGCTTCGCCTCAGCCCAGTGCCAGACATATACAATGTCCACCGCAACAAAAACATCGGTGAAATGGCTGAACTGCCGCTTATTACGATGGTTATCAGTTGCCATTTGTGGTGCGTATCCGTGTAACCATGACGATATGAATTCAATGCTGACCTTGATGTGATGTACGATTGCCGTAGGATAACATACCGTTACGTCACGAACAGTTTCTTTCGTATCATGGGCTCTCAGCTCTTCGGTGAGATCTTTGGTATCGTATACAACATTATCTACTATCGGTGGAGCCCCGAGAAAAAACGCGTACGGCTCCGCAAGCTATACTTGATGGCCTTTGCAGTGTGGTGCATGATCACACTCTACGTGGTTTTCGGTGTCTCGGGTGTCTTCGACCAAAACAAGTCTGAGGTTGGCAAGTCTCTAGGATATGCTGGATGTGCTTTCAGTCTCTCGATGTTCGCGTCCCCATTGGCCACGCTCAAACACGTAGTCAAGACCAGGAACTCCGCTTCTATCCCGATTAACATGTGCACCATGATTCTGATTTCCAGCGCGCTGGGGGCAGGCTCGGGTTATCTAGATGACGACTATTTCGTGGCAGTGATCAATTTAATCGGCGTCCTATTGAGCTGCATACAGATAGTCATCTACTTCGTATACAGGCCCCAAACGAGTACTGACGTGGCAGTGCACCTAAGTGATGCGACGTTAAGCGTACTGTCTCCGAAGTCGAAGGCACATAGCACGATTCTCGTCGAGAGCCCTGTGTGTTACAATATTTCGTTGTCGCCGCTGGTAAGGGAGAAAGCAGCAGACCAATAATATAAATTTTCACTTCATCTCATTTCAGTTTAACTTTCTGCTATTGTACTGCAAAAAAGTGTATTTAGCAGGCTTTAGTATAACTTTTCTGTAATTGTGCTTCAGAAA